TCTCTCTCTCTCTCTCTCTCTCTCTCTCTCTCTCTCTCTCTCTCTCTCTCTCTCTTACATAATTATCTTCTATGATATCATGAAACTGCAACAAGCCATTTAACAAACAACTCCATCTAGGTATGAGCAGTCGTGTGCGAGGATTCCAAGCGAGCAGGTCGCTTTGACTTGATAGAACAATCACGCTCAACATATTGCATTGGATTATAACCTGAGGGTGCCTCACACAACTGCAAACGGTGATATTGACACAAACTTTCACGACACTGGTGTTTAACTTTATCTCGAACGAAAGGAGTAATCTGGGTATACCGATTAAACATCTATCATGGAATACTGGACGATAATCTTATCGATATTAACTGTTGTGCTTGCCATTTATTATTATTCGTCCCGTAAAAATTTAAACGTGTTTCAGCAACACGGAATCCCATATTTAAAAACTTCGTTTGTAAAAAGAATATGGAAAACTTTCGTGCGTCCAGAAAGTTTCGCTAAACTCATTCAAGAAACGTACAATGTGCATTCCGAAGCTAAATACATTGGTGTTTTCGATCTCTCGAATCCTGTTATGGTGATCCGTGATGTTGAACTGATAAAGTTTATCGCTATCAAAAATTTTGACTCGTTTGAGGATCATCGTTTCTTCGGCAATGAAACTCAGGATCCGCTTTTCGGGACAAATCTGATAGCTCTTCGCGGTGACAAGTGGCGCGACTACAGAGCACTTGTGAGTCCCGCTTTTACAGCTAGCAAAATGAAGATGATGTATCACTTAATAACCGAGTGTGCTGTGAATTTTTCCGAGTACCTAATGGACGTACCATCGGACAAACGCATTATGGAAATGAAAGACATATTCACGAGATATGCCAACGACGTGATCGCCACCTGTGCCTTCGGCATTAACGTAGATTCAATGACAAATCCAGAGAATGAATTTTACGCTTTCGGCAAAAAGGCAACAAATTTCAATATGATTGCCCTTCTAAAAATTTTAATGTATCAATACACGCCAATACTTATACGCCTATTAAATATTAAGATAATAGATGATCGTACCAACGCATTCTTCGTAAATTTAGTAGACGAGACTATAAGGACGCGAGACGAAAAGGGTATTACTCGTCCAGATGTGATTCAATTGCTGATGGATAGTAGAAGTAAAAGGGAACCTGGAAAAGAACTGAGCATTCTGGACATGACATCGCAGGCGTTCATCTTTTTCCTAGCCGGTTTCGAGAGTAGCTCGACATTAATGAGTTTCGCGGCACACGAAATCGCCATCAATCCGGATGTTCAAGAGAAACTGCAAAATGAGATAGACCAAGTTTTGGAAGACATGAATGGCCAACCATCTTACGAGGCGATCAACGGAATGAAGTATCTGAATGCTGTTATTAACGAGACTCTCAGGAAGTATCCGGTACAACCGATGACGGATAGATTATGCGTGAAAGATTTCGAGTTGCCCGCGACGCTGCCGAATGCGAAGCCGTTCCTCGTCAAGGAAGGGATGATGGTCTGGTTTCCGTTTTACGGGCTTCAACACGATCCCAAATACTTTCCAGAACCGGATAAATTCAAACCTGAGAGGTTCCTTGAGGAAGGTAAAGAGAAAGATAACCTTAATGCTTATCATCCATTTGGATTAGGCCCGAGAATGTGCATCGGCAATAGGTTTGCGTTACTGGAAACAAGAACTGTGTTTTTTCATCTTCTGGCTCGTTGTC